TCAGCCCATGGACACCCACAGTGTTCTTTGCAGTCCCCTTGATTCCACCAGGCCCTGCCATGCTCTAATGGCCCCTTGGTTGCAGTGAGTCCCAAAGTGTCAGAACCGTCCCCATTGTTCCATGAGGCCCCACAGTGTCACTGTGCTCCCTTGCTTCCACAGGGCCCCACAGTGGAAGAATGGACTCTTGGTTGCATGAGGTTCCTCAGTCCCAATGGTGTCCTTGGATCTGCAGTGTCATGGTGGCCCCTTGGCTCCATGTGGCCACACTGTGTCACAATGGCTCATGGTTCCATGAGGCCACACAGTTTAACAAGGGACCCTTGGTTCCATCTGGCCTTGCTGTGTCACAATGGACTTGTGGTTCCATGAGCTCTCACACTGTCAGCAGCAGTCTCCTTGGTTCTGCAGCGTCACCATGGACCCTTTGTTTCATGATGTCCCACAGTAGAACACGGTCACCTTGGTTCCGTGAGGTTCTGCAGTGTCACCTTGGACCCATGGTTCCACCAGGCCTTGCTGTGTCACAATGGCCCCTTGGTTCCCAGAGGTTTCTCAGGGTCACAATGGTCTCCTTGGATCCGCAGCATCACAACGGACCATTGGTCCAATGTGGCCCCAATGTGCCAAAATGGATTTTGGTTCCACGGGGTTCTGCTTTGTCACAATGGACCCTTTGTTCCATGAGTTTGCACAGTATCACAGCTGACTCCTTGGGTTCTGTGAGGAACCACGGTCACCAAACCTCTGAAATATCAGAATAAGGGTCCTGAACACTCATTTGCTATTTCAGAGAGTGTCATATATTCAGGACTGAGCTCCAGTGAGGGATAAATCCTAACCTTACTTGGACATGTAATTCTACCACTGTGTTGCGTATAAACAGTTAGTAAATGCCACTTAGAATTTACCCACTTCCATAAAACCCAACTCAAGTTCCCAGATTCCCTCCTTGTTTTCTCTATCCCTGCACCCTTGAGCCAGATATCTTCTTCTTTTCTTCCAACCATCCTTGCTGTGAAAGCGGCCCCTGCATGCCTTGTTCCTGTGCTGAAAGTTCACAGGCAGTGTAAAAGTGGAATAAAGCCTTTTGGTATCAGCCCCAGGCTTTGTGTGGGCAGGCAGAGACAGGCAGGAGGCAGAGCTGGCAGCAAAGGAAGGGGCCAGCCAGGTGGGGCAGCCGGGGGATGCCAACAGCCTGCAGGGACAGAGGCGCAGGGCAGGGACACTGTAGCACAGCCTGGGCTGCACAGGGCACAGGCATGTGCAGCAGCTGCAAGACAGCCCTGCCAGAGCCAACTTGGGCAGCACTTTGGCCATGGCTGCTGGGCCTGGGCCTGAGGCAGGAGCAGGAGACAAGTGACCCTTGCAGGCCTGGGGCCTCATTGCCTCCTTGTCCCTGCTCAGCAGCCTGGCAGGGGCCGCCCCATGCTCCTGCCCTTGCCATTGCACATCCCCACATGCCAGTGCCCATCCCGGCAAGAGCCCTGAGCAAGGAGGGAGGGACAGCATCTGCCTGGCCAGGGGCTGGGGCTCAGGCCTTGGCCCTTGGCATTCCTCAAACATATCCAGCTTTGCTCAGCACCAGAGACACCTTAGCCTTGTTTGTCCCCAGCTGTCATCACTACCTCCAGTGTTCTGCTCTGACTGGAACCTGGGGACACTTTCTCAGTCATGTCCCTTAGTGGGACCCATTAAAACGTTAAGAAAATTTGGAGTCTAAATTTAAATTTGAGTTGTTGAGAAGTTTTTTGAAGACCCTCTCAGGGACTGAGTCTGATGTAAACAACACAAAAGCCCTGAAAGGGTCATTAAAGTTTTCCTAGTTCACTTATGGAGAAAGATTTCAAAGAACTTTCTAAAAAATACGCATTCCTATTTTAAAGGATGCATTTTATTTTATTTCTCTTTACATCAGAGGTGATTGCAGCATTCTGTGATTGATATTGACCCAGGGTCTCTCCTCAGCAGCTCTGGCCTGCTCACAGAAGCTGTGCCTGGAGCTCTGACCCAGTGGGGACAACCTTGCTCCACATTGCCCAGCCCCATCCTGTCTGTCCTCACTCCCCTGGGACCTGCTGTGCTTGCAGAGCTGGCTGCACTCAGCCTAAGAGGAGTTTTCCCTTTTTGGGGATTTTTTGAAGCAATCTGAAACTCCTGAGTTTCCCCACTGCAAACAGACACACTGCTCAGGTGTGTGCCAGCCACAGGTGCCACCAAAGCCACTGCAGAGCTGCTCTGGGCCAGCTGTGAGGGTGGATCATCAGCCCAAGCTGCACTGGGCCACTGCAAGGGGCTGTAGCCATGGGCACTGCACCGACCCCACAGCTGGGTTTGGCTGCCACGGCCACCGAGAGAAATGAAACTGTCCTTGGAAACCCTGGGGAGGACTGGGACATACTGGGGAACACTGGGAAGGCTGTGGGAGACACTGGGACATACTGGGAGTGATACTGAGGAGGAGTGGGACAACCTGGGAATACGAGGAATACTGAGGGGGAATCTGGGTGGAGGGGGATGGACTGTGGGGGTACACTGGGACATACTGGGAGTGATACTGGGGCAAACTGGGGACACTGGGGACATTGCGGGGAAGACTGGGGACACTGGGGCATCCTCTGGATGAAATTGAGGTGAACTGGAAGGGAGTGGGAATAAACTCAAGTGTATTGGGAGGGACTGGGCAGTACCGGGAGGGGCTGGAGGAGGGTGAATGGGCTGTTCCTGCCTCCACCACATCCCATTTGTCGAGGCTCCCGCAAATCACCGACCGCAGCCAATCAGCAGAAGGGACCTGGTTTTGGGGGTGGTGCCTAGATTGGCGCCTTTCCTTTTTGCCTAAAAATCCCGTCATGCCCCACGGCCCGACTGAGCCCCATTAGGTCCAGGATTACAACTCCCGTCATGCCCCGCGCTCCACAGAACACCGGGATCCGTCCCCATCTGTTCCATAAGTGTCCCCCACATCTTCCAGGATCCCGCAGTGCCCCCTGAGCACCCATTTGGGACCCCCCAAAAGCGTCCCCGGACCCTTGAGTGATCCCAACCCCACAGATGCCCAGTACAGCCACTTCTGGGAATTCATCTCCTCCCATCCCCCGCGGCCCTAGAGCCCCTCAGAACACAGTCCCGCGCCTAAAACTCCTGCCGTGCCCCGCGCTCTTAAGAACCTGGTTAGAGCTCCCCGAGCTCCCCCTAAGGGCTCTCGAACCGTTTAAGTTCCACCGAGGACCTCAAGTTGCGGCTCGGACGCAAAAGTGTCCCCCAAGTGCCTTCCCGGACCCCCAAACATTGTGTTCGAGCCACTCTCGGGACTACAGCTCCCATCATGCTCTGCGGCGCAAGTCCAGCGTTATTCCAGCCGGGACTTTATCTCCCGTCATGCCCCGCGCCCCACCGAGAGCCATTGCAGCTGCGCCCAGAACTCCCGTGATGCTCCGCGGCCCCGTTAAACCGTATGATACCCACGCTACAGGAGTCTCTGAAGCATCAGAGCCTCCAGCCAGGCTGGTGGTCACTGCATTTATGCACAAGAATCGGCCCGGGCACAGCAGGATCTGCTCATCTCGAGGGCTGCCCCAAGGCCCCACCTGGAGAGCTCCCAAACATTTCAGTCCCAGAAAAATTAGTCACCATTTCGAAGGTGACTAATTTTTGTTCATTTTGGAGCTGGTTCATTTTGAGGGCTCTTGACTGAGCTCAGTCACTTGGTTTCAAGTTGATGGCCTGTCTCAGACCAGCCTCTGCTCTGCTCTGTGTGGACAATGAGATGGGAGAGTCCTTGGGCCACCCAGGGGTCCAGTGACTTCGGTGCTCTGGTTGTCATCAACAGAGCTTTGTTTCACTGCTTCAGACCCTCCCTCTCCTCTTCTCCCCGGCATTTTAAATAATCCTATTTTCAAAGTCATCTGCTCTGCTCTTCATGTCTAAAAGCAAACCAAAAAACCTGAAAGGGAAAATACCTTTTTTTTAGAAATAGGTTTATTTTAGACTTTATTAGAAAATACAGTCTTTATTGCATATATTTTTCTCATGTATCTTTCCTTAGCTGTGCATTTTGGTTTCAAAACAGAGTAACTTAATTACTTAATTAATCCGGCATTTGAGACTTGAAAAGTGAGTTTAATCTATTCCCTGCAGGCACCCAGGAGAATTTGTTGTCTCGAGGCTCCCTCTGTAACCAGTAGAGACAAGAGAACATTTGGAGGCTGGGTGCTCCCATCTGGCACACAAAGCAAAAATTACAAATCTCTCACTCTGCACTTGGGTTATTTGCTATCAATGGCCATGAAGGACTGCATGGGAACAGGTGCATTTTGGTGCAGACAGGAGACAGCTCAGATTGTGACACTCTGTGTGGATCCATAATAAATTCCAGTCCTCATTTGGAGCACTCAAAAACCAAGTTATAATTGGTCCCTATTCTGCCCTCCCCATTTCTTTCCTGACGAGCCAGAGAGGGAAAAGCTGTGGAAGAAAGCAGAGGGTTGCAAAAGAGATACTTGGGATTGCTTATTTTGGAATCAACAGATCCTCAGGGACTCCTGTCCAAAGGCAAGTACTGAAAAGTAGAAACAAGGAACTTCAATGTACAGATTGGATGTAATTTCACAGTTTAGTGTTTGCGCTGTAGATGAGAGGTGTTTGGCACATGGGTGTGACAGATTTTGCAGTAGGTCTGAGTGAGCTGGGAATTTCCCACGAAAGGGGAGAAATAGCCAAGAACTCTTTAGAATCCTCTGTTCTGGTGAAAGAACTTTTTGGGAGTGTTTGGAAAAGGTAGAAAGAACACAATAAACCCCTGGCGTCTCTACCTGAAATGGTAAACAGAACAGTCAGGGTGTGAGAATTGTTTGAAGCACGATCTCTGTGCTCTATAGCAAGACTGCAGGAAAAGAAAAAAGCAGAGAAGGAAGGATAGAAATGTTTGTCCAGACTGTGAAATTTTCCCACTTGTTTTTGCCATGTTCCTGTCTCAGCAGGATGAGCTGGAATTCAGCATGGGACCAGAAAATGAAACAGCAGTTACTGAGTTCATCCTAGAGGGTTTTCCAGAGCTGGATCCAAGGCTGCAGGTATTTTTCTCTCTGGTCCTTCTGCTCACGTACCTGACAACAGTGATGGGGAATGCAACCACCATTTTCCTCGTGTGTGTGGATCACCACCTGCAAACCCCCATGTACTTTTTCATCAGCAACCTGGCCTTCCTGGAAATCTGGTTTACATCCTCCACAAGCATCAAACTGTTTGTGATGCTGAGTTCTGGTCAGAACACTCTCTCACTAAGCAGCTGCTTTGCCCAAAACTATTTCTATTTTGCTATGGGCTGCACAGAGTTCATGCTGCTCGTTGTCATGTCCTTTGACCGCTATGTTGCCATCTGCCAACCTTTGCTCTATGCTGCCATCATGAAGCCTCAGCTCTGTGTCCGCCTGGTTGTTGCTGCTTGGATCCTCAGCTTTGCCCTGCTGAGCTACCGGCTGCTCTTCCTCTCTGAGCTGTCCTTCTGTGGCTCCAAGATCCCCCATTTCTTTTGTGACAACTCCCCCTTGTTCAAACTGTCCTGCTCTGACACCAGCCTGCTCTGGAAAATAGACTCTGTCTTCATATCCTGTGTTGTGCTGGGTTCCTTGTGTTTGACTCTGGCATTTTACATCTGCATCCTTTTCTGTGTTCTGCATCTTCCAGCAGCCTCTGGGAGGAAGAAAGCTTTGACTGCGTGTTCTTCCCATCTCATCACCTTATCCATTGCCTACGGGAGCTGCATTGCTCTCTACACACGTCCTGCAGAATCTGTTTCCTTGAGCACCAACAGAATTGTAGCTCTGCTGAATACAGTCCTGTACCCATTCTTAAACCCATTCATCTACAGCCTTCGGAACAAACCTGTGATCCTGGCCCTGAGCAAATCCATTGCAAGGGCAAGAACAAAGCTTTTCCCCTAACCATGGTGCATTTCTGGAAAGCCATCCCAAGAATCTGGTGTCATCTGTTACACAATAGCAGTGCCTGTGAGTGCAGCCTTCAAACAGGGCCGCCTCAGGTCAAGAGATGAGAGACTCATCTGCACACCCAGACATGGCACCGACAATGGCAAGAGGAGAAACTCAGTTCATTCTCTGCCCTGGCTGCTCCCAGGACCATTTACTGGAGAGCCACCAGCTCATTAAGGGCCAATCTGCGTAACAGAGAAGAGTTCAGAAGAACAGCGGCAAGTGACAATCCAAATTACAGCTCCTGGGCGAAGGACATCTTGTCCAGCTCCTTCCCTGGGACAGCCAGCAGCCCCAATGTCTAGGTTTGGAATCGCAAAGTCACTGAGAGCAGTGGGGAAGACTGGGGGGAATTGGAAAGGGACCGGGAACGAACTCAGGTGTATTGGGAGGGACTGGTCTGTACTGGGAGGGACAGGAGAGGGTGCATTGGCTGCTCCTGCCTCCACCGCCTCCCATTTGCCGAGGCTCCCGCTCATCACAGCCTGCAGCCATTCAGCGCCAGAGGCCGGGGCCTCGAGAGGGGTGCCTAGGGTAGGCGCAGTATTTTCTGGTTTTGCCTACAACTCCCATCATGCCCCGCGGGCCGATTGAGCCCAATTGCAGCCAAAACAACAACGCCCATCATGTCCCGCGCTCCACAGAACCTCCAGGATCCCACAGTGCCCCCTGAGCGCACATTCGGGACTCCCATAAGCACCCCCGAACCCCTGAGTGCTCCCACCCCACAGATGGCCGGTACAGCCACTTCTGGGAATTCATCTCCTCTCGTCCCCCGCGGCCCCAGAGCCCCTCAGAACACAGTCCCGCGCCTAAAACTCCGGCCGCGACCCGGGCCCTAAAGAGCCTGGTTGGAGCTCTCCGAGCTCCTCCCAAGGGCTCCCGTGCCGTTTACGTTCCCCCAGAGGATCTCAAGTCGGGGCACGGACGCAAAGGTGTCCCCCAAGAGCCGTCCCAGACCCCCAAACATTTCGTTCCAACTACTTCATGGACTACAGCTCCCATCATGCTCCGCGGTGAATGTCCAGCGCTATTGCAGCCGGGATTCATCTCCTCTCATGCCCCGCGCCACACCGAGAGCCATGGCAGCTGCGCCCAGAACTCCCGTGATGCTCCGCGGCTCCGTTAAACCATATGATACCCGCGCTTACAACTCCCATCACCCCCCGCGCCCCAGAGAGCCCCGTTCGAGCCCCCCAAGGGCCCGCCCGGACCCCGAAGGGCCCCAAATTCCCCTCCCTGACCTCCAAGGGCCCCCCTGGACCCCCAAGTGCTGCCCCGGACCCTGAACTGTCCCTCAGAATCCCTGAGTGCCCCTCCAAGTGCCTACCCGGCTTCCCCAAGTGTCCTCCCGACCCTCAAGTTCTCTCTGAATTCCCTCCCCAGACCCAAAACTGCCCCAAATGTGCCCCAAAAATGTCTCCGGGAACCTCGAAGTGCACGGCCCCCCCAACCCTGTCTGAGAAAAAGATGATAAAAAAGATGACAAAACGACTACAAATATACCTAATTAATGTAAAGAGAAAGAAATAAATAGCCAATAGAAATTAATTAATTAATTCATGAAGGGAATTGTGTTACTTCGAACCAATGATGAATAATTTTCTTGGTTGCTAGAAATGTATCCAGTTTTAATATAAATGTACAAATTAGGTAATAAAAATATTTTATAAGACTATCCTAAACTAAAATAATATAATTATAATTTTGTCATTAATAAATTTTATTTATAAGGAAAAATGCTAAAATTTTTCTTTTTTTTTTGGGATGTCAGTCCCAGGTGGGCGTTGTCAGACATGGTGAGGCTGGGGGAGAGGAGCCGATTGTCCAAACAGGCTCAGCCTGCAAGGGGCTCGTTCTTATCCATGCCCAGACCTCCTAAGGAGACATTCAGCATCCAGATAACTTGGGGAATGCCTCTATCCCCTCTTCTCATAACTAAAAAATAAAAAAATACTGATGTGATTAAAAAACCAAAAATCATGAGGTGCATTTTGACATCTTCCTCCTGAAGACAACTCCAAACTGACTCCAATCACTGCACAAGCCCTGGAGACCCAAAGACAGTGGAAGGGAGACAAAGAGCTCCTGAGCGCTCTCTGTATTTTAATCAGCTCCACACTGGATTTGGGGCTGGGTCCACGAGCCTCAGACACGCAGAGAAGGATGAAGAAGCTGCTCAAGGAGTCTGCAGCAAAACTCCAAGTGCCTTGGAGCATGGCTGCGCCCCAGGCAGGGAAGGGAGTGCCCAAGGCTGCCCAGGGCCTGGTGAGAGCAGATCCTTGAGGGCAGGATTGCAGGGAGCCCAAGGCTGTGAGCAGGGAACTGCAATGCTGAGCAAGGCCTGGCTTGGCTGCAGGAAGCAGAAAGGCCAAGCCCTGAGCCCAGCCTGGGCCAGCAGGGCCTGTCCCTCACGGCTGCCTCGGGGCTCTTGGTGGGCCAGGGGGATGTGAGGGGCAGCAAGGACAAATGGCATCAACCTGCAGCCCCTGCCAGCCTCCCCAGGGAGGCCGAGGGAGAAGCAAAGTGCAGCCCCTGCCGGGAAAGTTCCTCCTGTGGGGCCTCCAGAGGTGCTGCCCGAGGCCAGGGCACAAAGCCCTGGGTGCCTGTGGCCCTGCCAGCCCTGCCCAGCCCTTGGCCATCTGTCCTGCAGGCTGTGCCCCCTGGGCGTGCTGCTCCTCTGCCCTGGCTGGCTGCACTCGCCCATCTCGCTGTGCCCCAGCCTTTCTCACCCAGCGTTTCTGTGCCCTCCCTGGGTGCCCTGCACCCAACGCTGCCGGCTCCTGGCACACAGAGCCCGGCCATGGCCCAGCCTCACGCTGCCACACCTCCAGCACCAACATTCTGCCCTGCGAGGCACTTTGCTTTCTCCTCAGCTCCAGGCTGAACATTCCAAGGTGCACTTTGGGGAGGTTTCCTTCAATTCCCACTGTCAATGAAAGCTCAGTCTCCTGCTGGTCACAAACAGAGAAGGCCTGGTGGCACAGCAGAGGTGGTCAGAGGCTGTTTGGGGCACAGTGACCATTGTAGCCATGATATTTTCTGAAAAATGCCTTTGCTAGGATTTAGCTCCTGAGAAGCTGAGGCCTCAGGTACAAAATATAAACAATAATTATCTGCTGCTGTGGAATGCAACAGGTGGATCTGTGATTGACTTCATGTCATTGTTTCTAATTAATGGCAAATCACAGTCCAGCTGTGTCTCTGTCTGGTCAGACACAGGATTGTGTTATCATTCCATTCTTTCTCCTTTGCTTGCAAGCATTCTGATAAAATCCTTTCTTCTATTCTTTTTGTATAGTTTTAATATAATATCTATCATAAAATAATAAATTAGTCTTCTGAAATATGGAGTCAGATCCCTTTCTCTTCCCTCTTCTGGGACCTCTGTGAACACCACTACTGACCATAAAATTATATGTTTTTTTAATATTCTCTGAAAGAAAGAGGGGCATCAACTAAACATCTACAACTGGCTGGATGGCCAGTTGAGTGGCGGTGAATGTTACACCAGAGAGTGGTGGTGAATGCTGCTGCATCCAGCTGGCAAGCAGTCACCTGAGGTGTCCCTCAGGGGTCTCTGCTGGAGCCAGTTCTGCTTAACATTGTTACTGACAACATGGATGAGAGTGTTGAGACTTTCAGTAGTAAATCTGCACACAAAACTAAGCTGGGAGCGTGTGTCCATCTGCTGGAAGGTAGGAGGCCTCTGCAGAGAGACCGGGAACAGTTGGATGGATGGGCAGAGTCCAATAAGATGAAGTTTAATAAGTCCAAGTGACAGGTCCTGCACTTTGGCCACAACAACCCCTGCAGTGCTACAGGCTGGGGACAGAGTGGCTGGACAGCAGCCAGGCACAAAGGGACCAAGGGGCACTGATGGACAGCAGGCTGGACATGAGCCAGCAGTGTGCCCAGGCTGGCAAGAAGGCCAATGGCTGCTGGCCTGGATCAGGAATGGTGTGGCCAGCAGGAGCAGGGCAGTGATTCTTCCCCTTTGCTGGGCACTGGTGAGGCCACACCTCGAGTGCTGTGTCCAGTTTGGGGCCCCCCAAATAAGGAAGGCCATGGAGGGGCTGGAGCGTGTCCAGAAAAGGGCAACAAGGCTGGTGAGGGGTCTGGAACACAAGTCCTGTGAGGAGAGGCTGAGGGAGCTGGGGTTTTTCTCCTGGAGAAGAGGAGGCTCAGGGAGACAAGGCAATATCAGGGCACAGGTTGGACTTGATGATCTCCAAGGTCTTCTCCAACCTTGCTAATTCTGTGATTCTCTGGAACCACCCTTGGAGCAGTTGCAGGATGAGCCCTGGGCCTCCTCTTCAGAAGCTCCAGCAGCCCAGGTCCCTCAGCTTCTCCTGCCAGCCCCAAAGCCCATCCTGTCAGTCCTGCAGAGCCTCTGCAGCTCCTCCTCACTGCCCGCAACAGGGAGCCCCAGAGCCAGACACAGCAGCCCAGATGTGCCCCCCTGGCCTGGGGAGCCTCTGGCAAAGGAGCAGCTCGAGGCAGTGCAGGAGCCTGCAGACAATTCCTGCAGCACTTGAAGGATGATCCTGCTGCCCAAGGGACGTTCCCATGGTGACAAGACAGGAACTGCAATGGGGAGTGGGGCCAGAAAGGAAAGGGCAAACAGGGATGGGCTGTTTGAAGGGAGGGTACAGGGGTGGAAGAAGAAGTAATCTAGATCAGGAAAGAGTAAAAAAAGCAAAGATGAAGCCAAGGAAATGCTCGGGGCTGTTTGGGGGTGACTGCCAGGCAGCCCTGGCTCTGAGCAACAGCATCTGCAATGGGACAGGAAACTCCCAGCTCATGGGAACAAACTTGCTGGCTGACTGCAGAGGCCACGACAAAGCTGAGTGGTTTCCCTGGTGTCCCCCAGGCCTTGCTGGCCCAGGGGCTGATGGCATTTGTTTTCCCTCAGGTTCATGTCCCCACAGCAACAGCATGGGGGTGCTCCC